GAAAAACTATGGGGATTTAGTTACATTATATGATCATACATTGCATAAACCTGCCACAACATCAATGTACCCCATATTAGGCATGTCCTACTCTAACTGCCTAATGTCTGCTAAATAAACCATAATAAAACACACACCGCACTTACCTGCAAGAAAAGGCAGAGGACTTGAGCAACTGCCTGCAGGGACAAACTGAAACAAAAGGAATCATGGAAAAGCAACGGGTGTGGCAACATAAAAAAAACATTTAAAGGAATCCAAGAGACTGTGAATTCCAGGAACGGAGTACAGGAATGAACCCAGAAAACCCAGCATAAAGAAAACCAGACATTGAATAGAAAACCAGAAAAACCAAGAAAAACTAAACAAGAATTGTAAAAAGAATACTGGATACCAGAAGCCATAGCCAGAATGATCCGCAGCTAGGAACAGGATGCAACACAAACAAAAGTATAAAGTATAAAGGCTGGTAAATAAATCGGCATAGTTCATCATAATGTCCAACACTGGTCCAGGGTGGCAGTGGTTAGCCCAGGCAACTCCACTGAGATAAACAAAGGGAAGTCCAATCTGGTAAGGGTAAACAAAGGTAAATCCAAGCTGGTAAGGGTTAATAGAGGCAAATCCAGGCTTATAGGAGTTAACAAAGGTAAATCCAACTTGTGATCCCTAGGGTATCCAGGAGGTTCTGGGCTTAAATAGTGGAGAGGAATGGGAGCCCTCCCATAAGGAGGGATCTATGGGCCTTTATAACTGGGAGGCCCCTCTACTGATAGTAGGCGTCCATGCCCCCTATGTGGGTGGGACACTATGTCAGTCTGCATATTCAAACTTGCTCCCAGGAATACCAGGATGGGTCCCCCAGGGTTCTGACACACCTTGCACTCGTAGCGTGCTGCTGAAGAGCTGAGATCCATCTGGTGGCCGGGAAGGGAGTCTAGCACATCACTCACTCCTGGAACACAGAGATCAACGTGGCGATCTTGTTGTGATAGTCATTAAGCTCGTATTTGAGTGCATGTTTGGGAGTGGGTACTTTGGGGCCCCACAAAATGGTTTTGTAGGGGTTTTATATGGAGACATACATCCAGCTCCCTCTGAATACATTCCTTATTTATGGGCTACCTAGATTGACTGTGTATCTCATTAATTTACTGCTTGTATCTGTAAAACTAGTGGCAGGATTACTAAAAAGTAATCATATACTCTAAACTGTTTTCAGTGACCTCTTTTAATCATTAGCTCCTTGTGAATAATCTTTAAAATTAATTAGTTCTACATCTATCTCCTTGGAATATTATGGGGAGACAACCATGTAAATGAGTAACTCTGCAAAGAAGTGGCTTAAAATATTTTGTCCACCAGATCTCTGGGGATGAAAGTATAGTGCACTCTGATATCATCTCAGCAAACCAAAGTGGCTAAGCTAGAAAACCCATGTACAAAAGGTGGAATTCAATCTACCAGGGTTATTTACTAAAGTAGGAATTCAGAGTAAATTAAAAGTGAATTTCAAATTTAAGACCAGATTAGCTGAAATGAAAGTATAGCTGACGCAGATAGTTTTTTCCAGTGCAGCTATTTGAGCTTAAATTTTAAATTCACTTTGAATTCACCTTGAATTTGCACTTTAATGAATAACCCTTCCTCCATGTTTGATTTTAGCCAGATCAGCACTACCCGTACGACTTCCGGGTTTCGCCAATCTCTCTTCACCCATGTGTCTGACGTCACGCGCTTACCTTCAAAAGGAAATCAATGTTTCCTGTGTTTGATACTCTCGCATACTTGCTACCTTGTTGCCTATATACCGATGGAGCTTCTAATTGATTTCCTGTGTACCGAACCTCTTGGCTTGATCCTGACTACGCTCTACTCTCGACTTCCTTACTTGGAACAAGACTTAATTTCTGAATCCTGCCTTTTCCCACATACCTCAAGGAACCATAAACTATCTTGGAAGGACTCTCATGCTCATCACTTAATAAAAGATAAATTCACCTCTTATTGGGATTAACAATAGGTTCTTTACTGAAGTTATTTGGGAAAGATAAAAAAATACTAAGTCTGCTTCCATTTACATATTCTAATTGAAAGTCTCATAAGCCAATTGCTCACTCTTTGATTGTCTTATTCATTATTATTTGGAATCTAAAGGACCATAACCACTGTGCAACCAGGATCTACAATTACCAGATTTTGTTGTCTTTTTTCAAAAGGACTATATTATTTCATACAACAGGAATCAACTCACCTGCCTTGTCAAACGTTATATTGAATTCTATGGACTGTTTTGCTAATTAAGCATTTCCTTATTATTTATATCCGATATTCTTGTGATACAAGTTGATTACAAACATTCATGCATTATTTGATTACAAACATTCATGCATTATTATTTCAAAACCTTATTGCTGCAGAAGTCTGCCAAAGTTAAATTTCTTTATTTAAATAATTTATATTTTCTGAAAGTGACAGCTTCAAATGTATTTGTTCACCTGCATTTGAGTTCCAAATATTTTTTTCCTAAGAAGTATTACAAGGATCTAAATACATTTATAGAATGTGACGGCAGATAAGTACCATTTGGACCATCTAGTCTGCCCAATTTTCTAAATACTTTTATTAGTCCCTGGCCTTATCTTATAGTTAGGATATCCTTATGCCTATCCCACGCATGCTTAAACTCCTTTACTGTGTTAACCTCTACCACTTCAGCTGGAAGGCTATTCCATGCATCCACTACCCTCTCAGTAAAGTAATACTTCCTGATACTATTTTTAAACCTTTGTCCTTCTAATTTAAGACTATGTCCTCTTGTTGTGGTAGTTTTTCTTCTTTTAAATATAGTCTCCTCCTTTACTGTGTTGACTCCCTTTATGTATTTAAATGTTTCTATCAAATCCCCCGTCTCGTCTTTCCTCCAAGCTATACATGTTAAGATCCTTTAACCTTTCCTGGTAAGTTTTATCCCGCAATCCATGAACCCGTTTAGTAGCCCTTCTCTGAACCCTCTATAAGGTATGAATATCCTTCTGAAGATACAGTCTCCAGTACTGTGTACAATACTCCAAGTGAGGTCTCACCAGTGTTCTCTACAATGGCATGAGCATTTCCCTCTTTCTACTGCTAATACCTCTACTTATACAACCAAGCATTCTGCTAGCATTTCCTGCTGCTCTATTACATTGTCTGCCCAGTAGCAGATCCAGAACCTGACCTCGGGAGGGGCACTTGCAGATTATTTAGAGAAATAATCCAGACACAATACCCACTACAGCTCAGTGTAGTGGTTATGGTGCCAGTAGTGCCGGGACCCCCTCCCAGAACAAGTAGTCAAACCGTTTAAGAACAGTTTGACAACTTACCTGAGGTCTGCTTGGAAATGGGGCTGTAGTAAGGCATAGGAGCAGGGGTGCAGTGTGTGTGTGTTTGTGTAAGAAGCTGTCTCTGATCTCCCCTCCGGTCCATGAAGGCACATTGGAGGGCTGGCGCTTGGACAAGGGAGAGGGAGAACCTCAGATTCCCGGGGGGGGGGGGGCAATTGCCCTGTTGCCCCCCCCCTGGATCCGCCAGTGTGTCTGCCTACCTTTAAGTCATCAGAAATAATCACCCCTAAATCCCTTTCCTCAGATGTTGAGGTTAGGACTCTATCAAATATTCTGTACTCTGCCCTTGGGTTTTTACGTCCAAGATGCATTATCTTGCACTTATCCACATTAAATGTCAGTTGCCACAATTCTGACCATTTTTCTAGTTTATCTAAATCATTTGCCATTTGGCTTATCCCTCCTGGAACATCAACCCTGTTACATATCTTAGTATTTTTGGCTGAATTTGCAGTATTTAAGGAGGAACCTGGCCCCTTAACTGGACTTTCACCTTAAACTGAAATTATTGCAGTGGACAAGGCATTTTGGAGGTAAGTACAAGACAAATTACCTCAATTTTCCAATATTTTGACCTCAATAAAAATGAAACTACACTTACTTTAATTGAGGACTTGGCTGACATGAATAAATGGTGGAATCTGAAAGTACAAGGGGTTATAGACTCAGTGGATCAGGGTGAATTTCTCCAGTTTTTCTATAGATTGTTGTCATCATTACTGCCTCTTAAACAGGGGAAGTTCCTAATCCTGGATGGGATAGAGAGCCTCCCTAAATCTGCCCGGGCTCAGCTGTTGGCCCTAATGGACATAACTTTTTGATTTCAATCTTAGAGTGACAAGGCTCTGTTTGTCAATGTAATTAGAGCTAAAGTTACCATTGATTTCTAAAAATGCCATTTATCCTTCTATCAAGACCTTTGTCACTTGACTCTTACAATGACTTGACATCTTTAAACCTGTGACCTAATGCCTCAAAGCTGCCCATTGGTTTCCCTCAGTCCCTTTTTGTAAAACATAAAGACCAAATTCATCAGCTCTCCTGACCAGTGGAGACAGTGCCTCTCTTTCAGGCCTTAAGCCAATCTTGCAACCTGCTGGGACAACCACCAGTGTGCGATGCTCCAAATATTGCTCCCTTAATGCCTAGGCAAATCCTAACCCCAGGATGATGAATTGGACTTTGTAGTTGTGAGGCTGTAGCTTGTTCATAAGGCCTATTTCTAACTGATCATGAGTGATATTCCTTTATTTTATTTTGGATTTATACTATATAATTTATTCTGGGCTTTTGGAGTCTGGGGTTCTGGAGTCTTTGCCTAAATTCGGGGATACTGATGCTGCATGCGCAGAATCCTTATTTTTAATTTACCATTTCTGCTTATTTATTTTCTCAATTTTTCTTTCTCTCTAGCCAGCCATAAAATTTCTCTGTTTCTCCCCTAATTGGGTCGAACTTAACGTGGACATTTGTGTACAACTGACTTTGTACCTTACTTTACCTGCTTAGTCTCCAGCTTTTTATAGTCTTTTACATATAAAAATGGGATATTTAACTTTATTCATATATGTGACATATATGATGGTACAATAAATGGTACAATAAAGTAACTTTTTTAAAAATATATATTTTTATTTATTTATGTCATGGAATCTCTTTCACAAATAAAAATAAAATCAAAAATCTAAAATTTCAATTTTGGGACCGATACATTAATTAAAAATTACAACCCGGGTTTCTGGTACGGGGTGCATAGAATTCTTTATTTTCCATTCTAGCATCACAAACTACTTATAAGTGTATGAGGCCACCCGAAAAAAATTACAGAGTCCCTTATGTCATTTGTTCAATTTAGAGTCCACCAATGACACCATTTGTGAGTTTTACAAAAATGACAATGGTTGTTCTCGAGAGACTTTTATTTGGTCACTTATTAAAGATAAAATATATTTTTTACATACTCAACAATTGAACTGCACAGTAACCTGTCAAATCACCATGTACTGCTAAAAAGCTTCTGGCTTGAATACAGTAAGATTTTGCTATATTTATGGAGGCATGAGGGGCCCAGGGGCACTAGATGGTGATGTTAACACTTTAGGATCAGGAATACATGTTTGTGTTCCTGACCCTATAGTGATCCTTTAATTTCTGTGGACTTGGCATGTCCCCTCTTTTTATAAAACAGCTTCTAGTGAGATCTACTAAAAATATAATTAATTAAGACTCTCGTATGTTGTGTTAGTAGACTCACATGTGGCACTTTACTTTAGATGATATGAATACTGTTCATTTCTTGTTAAAAAAAACTAAATATTTTTATTAGCTACAAATCAACGGTAATATGTTCAAATAGATATTTTGTCCCTTTTAGAATGGCAATGTCTTTATACATAGGTTCTTTGACTCTTTTCAAGTGGATGTAAAGATATAATTGGTGAATCAGCCAATGGACACATAAATTATATCTGCCACCAGGTGACAAATGAAAAATGCCCCCTGCAATTTGTTTGTATCAATCTTATGTAGGGGTAAATGATTAATTAATCATGGTGGTTCATTTTACATCTCTGTGTTCCTTTACGTTTTAAGGAAAAATCTATGTGTCTCATACAAACAGGCTGCGGTGCTCGATTTTTAAATGAACCAAAAAATGTGTTGCTTTGCCATCTTGTGACATCACTATATGGAATAATATTTGGATTATCTAATGCAGCAAGAAATAATTATTTTGTACATGTTTGTGCTTGGTGATGTTATTACTTTTAAATCTATAATTACTCGCTGCACAGCACCATTGTTGCACAATTTAAGGTGAGGTTGTTTAAAATCAAAGAGTCTCTTGCGCAACTGATGAGCTATTTAAGCATTAGCAAGTCATTGAGTTAAAAAAAGCAAAAAGAAATATACTTTTTACACATCTTGTACTAAAAACTATACAGCATTGATTTTCATTCTACCTAAAATCTATACAATATTGACAAGCTTCTTTATAGAAGTGCGACCTGTAAACGAATTTGTGATCCATTGCTAAGCTGTGAGCTTTCACAAGAATACATATTTAAAATCAACACTGACAGGAGGTACATGGTTAGAACACACATGACATATATATTAAGATTTGTAGAATATTTTGCAGTATTCACATAGACATTTCGGGTACACATTCTTTGTTACTGTTGTCGGCTCTCTTCAAAGTGTAGGTGCAGGTGGCTTGATTAAATACAGCTATACAGCCTTCACTTCGGGGTTCCAAGCTGTTAAAAGACACAGTTATGGTCAAGGACAGATGAAAAAATTCTGCTATTCTATGAAACACAATTATTAAAGGGACACCCCACTGCCCAAATACAAGCTAAATAAAAATGGTGTTTAGTAGATATACCTCAAAGGAAAACTCGCATGCATTAAATTATGCATTTTTGTTTGTTGGAAATATATCTAAAAACCACTTTCAAAACCGGCAATTCTCATGTCTACAGCCTTTGCAAACCACCGCCTTCTAACCCAGTCTAGAGTTTCTATGGTTGTCCAATCAGAGACTTTTCAATGCAGCTCAATGAGAAGTCTTTGCAATGCAGGTGCTCTGAGCAATTGTTGCCTCTTGAGATTAGCTCCACTGAGCTAACCAAACAAGGAAGTAACATGACCTGTTGTCTGTTTGAAAGCATAGTGGGTGTAACCAGGTTAATTTAATAAAGTGTCAATTTCTTTTAAAACCTGCACGTTTTGTAAAATAAAAATAAGAGGACACACTCTTCTTCTTGGAGGTAATTAATAGAGGGAGTGTGGCGTAGGAGCAATAAATTAGGTAAATGTAGTGATGGCAATGCATTGGGGGAATATGGATACTGGAGAGTGAATTACCATATTCCATGTATCAACATTATGGTGGTTTAAGAGGTTATAACAATTGTAATTGTAGAGAAGAGTGGGACATGACTTTGGGACTGAAAGGATTAGAAAAATCAATTGAGGGTGCAGAGTAATTAAAAAAAAAAAAAAAGGTATGTAAAATGCACAGAGAATGTAGGAGAATGTAGGACCCAAGCTATTTTCTTGGACCCAAGCTGTACACTCAGAAATATTGGTAAAGAGACACATTATCCAAGGTGAGTCAGGGGTAATTATATTGAAATCCTGTCTACTTAATTGCTCTCCATTTGTATCACTGGACTGACGTTGCTGCAACGCCTCTGAACTGGATTGCTGCAACGCCTCTGACAGCTATTTTAGACATCTATTCATCCTACTGACCTATATAAAGTTCCTATAATCTTCCTTAAAATTCTTAAACACAAAGAGATACTTTTTAGGTGATGCAATCTGCTCTTGGTTCCTTACATGTCCATAAATACTGATTAGCTGATTCTCAGGTATGACTAAACATTTCACATACCCATTTTTAAGACAAAATCAACATATAACTCCATAAAACAATAAAAAAAGGTTAGTTTTTTTCCTTTTTTTAGGGGGGGTTTGGGGGAGGGAGGAGTAATATGCTGGAGCAGATGATGATGATCACATATGATTAAACTATGGTCAAGGCTAAACTACTTCCATTTGTTTTTCTTAAGTGTACCTTATGAAAAATATAACCCTGCACATCACATAAACATTACATATGACCTAAATTGTATTACAATATATATATATATATATATATATATATATATATATATATATATCTTATATCATTGTTTAACTCTTTCCATGGAGTGATTATTGTCAGTACTTTAATTGCTGAAATAAGGAAATTGCAGTAATAAATAAATATAACTTTAATGCTTACGGTGAACAGCAGCTTATCATTCCAGAAGCTCCACAAGTACAGTTCATGCAATCAGACCTGATCCACGATGATTGCAGTGGTCGCTTCTCACCATTATCCATGCAGTCTACAATGAATAAAAATAAGGACGTTTTTTAATAGGATGCATATTAAACATACCTGCGTCGGAACTAAAATAATATCCATTTGCATACCAGTAAATCTCTAATGAGACAGAGAGGGGTATATATAATATTATATAAATACCCCTCTCTGTCTTATAAGAGATTTCTTTGCCAGTAGCTCAAGGAAGCAAGATGAATAGTCAGTGTAGGACCCACATCAGAGGTTTGCCTTGACATGGCATGTGGGCTTGCATCTAATGGCCATTGGAGTTACTAAATAACCTCCATTTATTTAAATATGCATAGGGATTTGGGAAATGTGCAGGTAACTTTTTTTTTCCTTTGGTTTTTACATCAAGTTGAGAAAGACTTTTTACGTTGAAATTTTGAGGGGTCCATTTGTGGAGTGACTAAAATAATCACTCACATATAAATGGGGTTGAATTATTTTTGCATTACATACTGTTTTCCCCATTGAACACAAGCAGAAGCAAGGAGGTGGTCTGCCCCAGCTGACAAGCGGCAATAGAACACTCTTTCCACCAGACAAGACAGCCTGCTGTGAGGCTGTTGTATGTGGCTTCAGAGCAGGCAGCAAGTCTGCACTTATTTCCCACCAGCCCTGGCATCAGTACAGAGCTGCAGCAAGCTGGGCAATGAATAAAGCAGAGATAAGGGTCCACTTCAGGATAAGAAAAGGAGGATGGGTGAACCACGATGTAAAGATAAATAGAAAAAAAAAATGATTGTGTGTCTATGAATATATGTGTATACGAGTCTGTGGGTATATGAATGTATATTTGTATGCATCTGTGTATATACATGAATGTGTGGATATGAGTCTGTGTGTGAATATGAATGTTTACGTATATGAATGTGTGAATGAGTATGTGTGTAAGTCTCTGCATATACGGATGTGGTTGTTTTTATGTATCCAAGTGTTTGAGTTCGAGTATGTATGTACATTAAATGTGTGTGCTGTGTATATATGTCCATGTATATATATATATATATATATATATATATATATATATATATATATTAGAGTTTTACAGATTGTAGCCTTATTAGTCCAGTGATGCAGATGTAAAATAACAGATGAAATTTGTATCTTGTAATACCATTTCTATTGTACTAACAGAATTTTGTAATGACAAGCTTTCAGGGGAACATTGCTTAGACTTGAGAAAGTCTTTAAGTCTTTATAATTTATGAAATATTAGCATTTACTTATATATGTATTTAGTAATTTTGCTATTATGAAGTTACTTATCTTTTCCCAAGTACTGCCAGGAACCAGGGAGGACCTCCCACATGGCTTCGATATCAGCACATTGTTTTCACTAGAGCAATAATTACACTAACTATAGCATGTGCACTGTAGTTGCCATGTTGGAGAGAAAGAGGCCATCCATGGCAGATATACTGCAAGTGTACCTGCAAGGATATAGCTTGAGAATGCAAATAATTTAGCATAGATGATTAGAGTCATCACTAATGCCAAATATGTAATACGGAAGTTTATCATATTAGCAATATGGTATTTTGATATGCTTAGACTAATCCTTTTGGAATAGATAGACAATTGCTGTTGAAATACTGGATTTTGCTGATTGCAAAACAGAAATATAAGAAATATGCTAACTAATTAAGAAACAGCTCTGTTATGACGTTTTGATTAATGGAAATATTTTGCTAAAGTTTTGCTAAGTAAGCAAGGAGAGAAAGCAAGGATAAAACATTGACACATGTATATGCGTCTCATATGAAGCTCGTCCAGTACAATTAACTCACAATCAAGTTTTGGCAGATTGCTCGGTCGTCTCATCTTGTTTTCAATACATGCTGCATTACTCATTATTACGAGGAAGCCAAGGGTCAGCAGTACAACTACCAGGCAATTCTATGGAAAACAAAAAACAGTAACGACAAATATAGATCAGTAAGGCTTTTGACACTGTTGCACATAGAATGCTTATCAATAAACTGCAATCTTTAAGTTTGGATTCAAATATTGTTGAATGGGTAAGGCAGTGGCTGAGTGACAGGCAACAGAGGGTTGTAGTTAATGGAATATATTCGAAGCTTGGACTTGTCACCAGTGGGGTACCTCAGGGATCTGTACTTGGACCCATTCTCTTTAATATTTTTATTAGTGATATTGCAGAAGGTCTTGATGGTAAGGTATGTCTTTTTGCTGATGATACTAAGATATGTAACAGGGTTGATGTTCCAGGAGGGATAAGCCAAATGACAAATGATTTAGGTAAACTAGAAAAATGGTCAGAATTGTGGCAACTGACATTTAATGTGGATAAGTGCAAGATAATGCATCTTGGACGTAAAAACCCAAGGGCAGAGTACAGAATATTTGATAGAGTGCTAACCTCAACATATGAGGAAAGGGATTTAGGGGTGATTATTTCTGATGACTTAAAGGTAGGCAGACAATGTAATAGAGCAGCAGGAAATGCTAGCAGAATGCTTGGTTGTATAGGGAGAGGTATTAGCAGTAGAAAGAGGGAAGTGCTCATTCCATTGTACAGAACACTGGTGAGACCTCACTTGGAGTATTGTACACAGTACTGGAGACCGTATCTTCAGAAGGATATTGATACCTTAGAGAGGGTTCAGAGAAGGGCTACTAAACTGGTTCATGGATTGCGGGATAAAACTTACCAGGAAAGGTTAAAGGATCTTAACATGTATAGCTTGGAGGAAAGACGAGACAGGGGGGATATGATAGAAACATTTAAATATATAAAGGGAATCAACACAGTAAAGGAGGAGACTATATTTAAAAGAAGAAAAACTACCACAACAAGAGGACATAGTCTTAAATTAGAGGGACAAAGGTTTAAAAATAATATCAGGAAGTATTACTTTACTGAGAGGGTAGTGGATGCATGGAATAGCCTTCCAGCTGAAGTGGTAGAGGTTAACACAGTAAAGGAGTTTAAGCATGCGTGGGATAGGCATAAGGCTATCCTAACTATAAGATAAGGCCAGGGACTAATGAAAGTATTTCGAAAATTGGGCAGACTAGATGGGACGAATGGTTCTTATCTGCCGTCACATTCTTTGTTTCTATGTTTCTAAATACTAGGTGGGTTTATATATACACAGAGTCATGCATATTCCTTAAAGGATAACTGTAACTTCTCTGAAATTTAACTAGAGAATAAAACAAGTAACAGCCTATTACTGTGCTAAAGTTTTTCATGCAAAGATTTATTTTTCTTATATGTGTATTATAGATGTAACAACTGACATCACAATCCAGTTTAATTCTAGCACAGACAAGGCAGACATTGCTTTGAAAGACTATATATATATATTTTTTAATTAAAAGTTTTCTAAAAGTTGTTCTAAAAAGGAAATCTATCTTTATACGTACACTTTGTGTATATATATATATATATATATATACATACATACATACAAAAGAGCTTGCCACTCACCTAATCAAAACATATCTGTTAGATATCTAGGTGCCAACCCATGTTGTTTAAATAATCCAAAAAATTGGGGTGCACTCAAAGGTTTTTCAATAGCTGAAATAGGTTAATCAGTGCATCAAAATACAAAAAACCAACAGCCTCCCGATCAACGTTTCGACTCCTGAGGGTCTTTCTCAAGATCTTGAGAAAGACCCTCAGAGGTTGAAAATTTGTTATTTTTTGTATTTACAATTATTCCTACAGTACATGTGTTTGTGTGCATATATATGTATACACATTTTGTAATTTCACTTACCTTTGGGATCCTGCTTGAGTTTTTTAGGGACATGATGGTCTGTATAGTTCAAAAATTTGCAGGATTAAGTAGATATTTTCCAGTTTGCCTAAGAAACCAAGTTGGGAGGATACTGGTACTGTGTACGATAGCTGACTGATGCACGCATAATATATAGCTTTAGGAATAACAATGGGAAGGTGTTGCCAAAATGAATCACATGGACTACTAAAATTGAACACACCCCAGTAAAAACTGGAATACGTTGGTATGGAACATTCAGAGACAAATGCGTAATAGCATATATATTTATATATAGCAATCACCAAAACCCATGTGACAAGCAACCAAATGGTTTTTACTAATTCCTTTGCATGAAAGCATTTGAAATAATATATGATTTGTACTGATAGGTATAATAGATGTTATAAAGAATGTGTCTTTATAGTGCAAAATACACAGTTGTTTTGTTTAAAACTTTTTGTTTCACTTTGCAATTTTATTGATTCTTACAAATGACAAAGTTATCTACTAAATTGCGGAAAGAGCAAAATTAAGAAAAATGCTTTTTTAAATTTAGTTTTTTCAGGGTTTTTTTTTAGTAGATAGCCCCTTAGTTTGGTATCATTAAAAAATATTCCACATAATTCCACATAATGAAACACATTAGGGAGTTATCTACAGCTGAAAGATTAAAATTAAGAAAAGCCCTTCTGCACATAAAAAGTTTGTTAACAGGAGGGTAGCTAAATATATAAAACCTATGACATATATATGTGTGTGTATCTGTGTTGGTGTTGGTGTCAGTGTGTGTATATGTGTATTTTTGTGTCAGTGTGTGTATGTGTTAATGTGTATATATGTGTAAGTGTGTGTGCCAGTGTATGTATGTGTTTGTCGTGTGTCAGGCTGAGTATATGTGTTGGTGTGTATATGCATGTCAGCGTGTGTGTATGTATGTGTGAATGTGTGTATCTGTGTGTCAGGGTGTCTAACTGAGTGCGTGTGTATGTGTTACTCTGTGTGTCTGTGTGTGTATCTGTATGTCAGGGTGTGCATATGTGTCAGTGTGTGTCTGAGCGTGTGTCTATGTTTCAATGTGTAAGTATGCATGTATGTGGCAGTGTATGTGTATATGTACATATATCTCAGCAATCAAACATCAACACTGCATGCCAATACACCCCTGCAATCAAATGCAAACATTCATACAAAGACATCCCTGTATTAAAACAGCAAAATTATATCCTATGTTTCTATTTAGAGGGTCAAAGGTTTAAAAATAATAGTATTACTTTACTGTGAGGGTAGTGAATACATGGAATAACCTTCCAGCTGAAGTGGTAGAGGTTAACACAGTGAGTGAGTTTAAGCATGCATGCGATAGGCATAAGGCTATCCTTGATGTAAGATAAGGCCAGGGACTAATAAAAAGTATTTAGAAAATTGGGCAGACTAGATGAGCCGAATGGTTATCTGCCGTCAAATTCTGTGTCTCTACATACAAACACATCCCTTTATTCACTTACCAACACTACACACACATGTACACCTGGATTTAAAAGTTAACACTATATACAAATACACCCCTACATGCACACAAATACAGCTGGCAGCTGGCATAGCATCATGAGAGTTGTATGACAGATGAGGCTTTATCTTTTGTTAAAAGAATTTATCGCACCCGGGTCCTCTTTACATTAGTCCACTTATTTGGTAAATATGGCAATCTCACATAGGTATTGCAAATTAGGGAGTCATCTGCTAAACAGCTGAAATAAATTAAGAAAGGACCTTTCCTTTATTTTAATCTTTTAGCTGTTTAATATATAACTAAATTGGAGGCAGAGTCTGACCCACCAAGAAGATGGCCGCATAACTGTGCAGCTCCGCCGCGGTACCGCCGAACAATTAGCCAACATAAGTGCATTCCTCACCCCATCCGCAGCTTACTGCACTCACGAACCAGGTATATACCGCAGCATCCGCCGGCCACACTCCATGATGGGCGGAAGGCGCAAGACGAAACAGACGGCCGTGGCGCCACTATTCCGCGCACGACCCGACAATGCCCAAACGCCTACCCACACCAACACACCCTCTGACAGAGAAACGGACGACAGCTGCTCAGTATCTGCAAGCAGTATCTTACTAGCAGGGACATGAGAGGCTTCCTGCACATGTGGCAGAGGAATTGCAAAAAAATCTCCAACCTCTACATGAAGGCCTGACAGACCTCGCCATGCAGACGCAGGAAGTGGAGGCTAAAATGGAGGACACAGCATCAGCAGTGCACTCAGGGACATATTAGCCGCGAGGCAAACAAGGCATTTGCCTTGGGCTGCATTTTCCAGGGGGCGGCAAAAAAAGCCGCCCCCAAATATCGGGCGAGTGGTGCTGGTGAGGGAGCACTTTCCCCTGAGCTCTCTGCTCAGCTCTCTCACGCACTGCAGAGTGACGCTGGGAGCCGGAATATGATGTCACCGCCCGCCCAGCAGCCCAGCAGCCACTGGACCCCAGGGAAAGGGAGAACCCCCCCAGCATTCCCAAAGGTAAGGAGGCTGGGGGGGGGTTGAATTTAAAAAAAAAAGTGTGTGTTAGTGTGTATGTTAGTGTGTGTGTGTCTGTTAGTGAGTGTGTGTGTGTGTATGTCTGTTAGTGAGTGTGTGTTTGTCTGTTAGTGTGTGTGTGTGTGTGTGTCTGTTAGTGTGTGTGTCTGTTAGTGAGTGTGTGTATGTCAGGGAGTGTGTTACTATGTGTGTGTCTGTTAGTGAGAGTGTATGCGTGTCTGTTAGTGAATGTATGTGTCTGTTAGTGAGTGTGTATATCTGTTAGCTAGTGTATGCGTGTCTGTCAGTGAATGTGTGTGTGTGTGTATTTAGAATGCCGGGCAGGGGGGAAGGGTGGGGTGGCGCGGGGTGGGGGTGTCTGAGTTTTGTCATGCCTGGGGCAGCACAAAACCAGGATATACCACTGAGTGCACTCACACGACCTGGCTATCCAGGAACTCAGAGAACAAGTTAAATGCTTAGAAGAGGCACAGGAGGACCTGAGTAACCGGTCTCGTCGAAAAAATATTCAGATCAGAGGAATACCGGAGACCATCTCCATGGAACTCCAGCAACCAACGCTCACGGACACCTTCCAGAGCCTACTACCAGAGTCCTCACAAGCTGGCCTTCTGATGGATCACACACATCGGGCATTACGCTCCCCTATTTCCACATAAAGGAAAGATTGATGACAGCGGCCAGAGATACCCAGCTCCAAATAGAAGGGACTATATCAAGATCTAGCGGAAAGCACGCTGCGCAAAAGGAGAGAGCTGCGCCCGCTCACTCAGATGCTGACATAACACAACCTGAGCTATGATGGGGGGCACCCATTTAAACGGACGGTCCGCAAGGATAACAAATTTCACGTCTTCACCCAGCCCTCCGATGTGCCAGAATTCCTGACAAGGCTCAATTTCCCTCCGATCACCAATCCACTCCCACAGAGACCCCCGCGACCATCCGCGCCTCAGAACGCCAGGATCTGCGAGCACCAGCTGAGACTTCATCCGTGTTGGCAGTAGACTGACTCTGCGGACTCACCTATCACAGCTACCCAACCACCCACCCCCCACCAGCAGCCAGATGCTCCACCAGGATCCCAGTTCACAACATCAACAACACCTGAACTCTCACCAACTTGTCCTTCACCCAAGCTCTCGTAATTTTTGGTTAACCTCTCTCTTAGCCACTCCACCTACCTCACAGGTACTCCTTACAGAATGCAAACCTTAACCCAGCCGGACACGGCTGGCATCCACAGCTGACTCCAGATTATGCAGACGGCCCACTGCGACCACGCTAAGTACCTCTCTATACCATACCTTTAAATACATGGAGGACATGGGAGGGGGAGGACATGGAGGGGGGAGGACATGGGCGGGGAGGACATGGGGGGAGGAGGGGAAATAACCCTAGCAGAGGCTCACCACCTTACCTAAGCTTATGGGTAGGCCAATATCCCGTAGGACACTGCAAAGGATATCGACTCACTGTAAGGGAAGCTGGGGAAACCTCTAGCGAATTAAGAAACGCTAAGTCTGGAACCTTTGACCCCCAGACGGAGACAATGCCACTCTTATTCCATAATACAATATCAGAGAGGAGATACGAACAGAGGAAGGGAGGGTGAGCAGCAAAAAAGGGGGAAGGTGGGAGAAGAAGGGGGGGAGAGGAGGGGGGAGGGAACCACACAAACAAACAACTGGAGGCAGGGTGGGGGGGAGGGAACACTGAGAAAGGAGGAGCAAGAGAGGGTGAACAATAACAGAATGCAATACAGGGGAGGAGGAGGAGGGCAGGAACGGGGAGTAGCTCGAGAGAGAGGAGGGTACCATCCACGAGACATTACCAAGAATCCCATTTTACCACCCTGCTGGTGAACAACAGTTTAATTTCTCAAAAGTAAAAGTTTTACATGTATTTGATGTTACTATATTGTAGATTGATTATGCTATATATATTATTTGTCCATACAGACGCAATACTGAATTGTAATCCTTGCGCTCAGACCCAGCACACGCGCCCTATGAGCACCGCAGATCATACATTCATTCCCCCACCATCTCAGCACCACACCTTACCATATAGTGGCCCTACCTTGCACGCCAACACCCACAATACGCTAGTGACTTCCTCACCCATACCCACCCCAAACAAACGCTCACTTGAGGGATACTTCTCAATCGTTGGCCGGACCGTGGCGGCCCGCAACTGACCTACACTTTCCATACACACTACAGACCAACTTTCCCTGTATTCTCTCCTAATACCACTGTACACTCCCAACCTCAGGGGGAACACCGTGCACTCCCTCCCACTGAGGTTGCCCGGCCAACTACAACTGGCAATCTGGATAAGCCCAGTTTTCTGTCTGTCTACTTCTTTTTTTTTTTTACAATTTTTATTGAGTCAGCGAAAAGGAAGGTATGTGGGTACAGAAAGTAGAAAGAGGGAGGGGTTGGTCGCTTGATCCATCGGGTATTGCACAACAACAGTTAATACACTCATAACAATCATTTAGTGTGGTGCGGGTACACGCATGACAGTTGTTTGGCATAGATATTCTCGTGTTGATAGGTTGGTATATGCACGCACATGTCTGTTATGCAACATATATACTCTCGTGACCGTTTGTTGGTGTACATACACATTTGACAATTATTTGATGTTGATGCTCTCATAGCAGTTTGTTGGTATGCTCGCACATCTGACAGTTATTTAGCTTAAATATTCTCATATTGATTAGTTGGTGTACATGCATGTATAACACTTATTTGGCATTGATATTCTCCTGACAATTTGTCTATAGGCATACACACATAACAATTGTTTGGTCTTTTTACTCCCTTGAACATTTGATGGTGTGCAAGCGCTCAGGACCATTATTGGGCACATATACTCTCCTACCAATTTGTCGGTGTACTTTCGCCCATGGCGATTGTTAGGTGTAGGTGTAGGTGCCCTCGTGTCAGTTGTTTTGTGGTTCACGCCTAGTTTTTCCAGACTTGCGTGGCACGGGGGCTCGGGGGGGTGTTTTGGAGTGTCTATCGATCTGGGCTTCGTGGCTGGGCTTAAGGTGGCCTAACTGGCTAACTGGCTACAGGGGTACTTCTATATAGTGTTTGGTCTCATGGATTGTTTTCTTTTTGTGTTTGCTTCGTGCTCCGTGAAGCTGCTCTGTACCCCGCTAGTGTCCGTGTCAGACTTAGCCATCTGCCTGACTGGTGGGCTATTGGTTGTAGTAGCGTTAAGTGCATGCTTGTGCCTATCTAGTGGTATCGGTGCTTTCGCGACACTCTTTTGGGAGTGTTGTTCCGATGTATCTGGTGCCTTCCCATCTCTTTCCCCAGTCCGCCGGACCGCTTGACTCCGTTTTCCTCTAAAAAGGGGGGGTGGGAGGGGGATAAGGGGGAGAGGGAAGGGGTTGGCAGGTAGGGGAGGGGGGGTGAACTATGTACAAAGGAGGCTTGCTCTACTGTGTCTCGTCAGGGTAGACCTCTCGTGGAGAGTGAAGTATGTTCCCTACTTGGTTGGGGTTTGCAGATTGCCCGGCACCTTGTTGGTTGCCATTGCCAGGTATGCTGGGTTGCCTGTTGCGGATTTCGACACCTGGGCCGAGAGCCCAGAGCACAGCCCGGAAATTTCCCCGCTCCCACTCGTCCAGTGCTCTGTCACCATTGTTAGCTCCCAGTTGTAAACCTCTGTGTCGGAGGTTTTTACATCATATTTGGTTCGTCAGTATCGTCCCATGGTGTTTCATCTTCTCTACTTTCCCTGTGGTCTTGTGATTCTGGGGTGTGGGTGTTTTCCATGTGTATTTGAGTTTTAATGTAGGTGTCCCACATGTTGCCCGCTCCCTGTATGTGTTTTTTAGGGCTAATATGTTTGTGGGCCATTGTTTCGTAGTCTAGGTTGAGGGTGATCTGTGCTATAAGGGCAGTGCGACCCGGGACTTCCACGGCTTTCCATGCTCTGGCTATCAGTAGATTTGCAGCCATGAGGATGTGGAAGAGTAGGGTATAGGCTGGTTTGGGCATGTTTTCTATTGGCATGAACAGGAGACATAGTTCAGGTGTGGGTGTAACACTCATCCCTAGTGCGCCCACCATCCGCCAGTATCCTTTGATCTTGGGACAGGTCCACCAAATGTGGTACATCGTTCCCGGTTCTTGTGAACACCTCCAGCAGAGTCTAGATGTGTTCGGGTAAATTCGCGCCAGCCTGTCCGGTACCAAGTACCAGCGGTATTGGATTTTCCTCATCAGTTCCAAGTGTGATGCACAGCTTGTCTTTCCCTTGTGAGCTAACATTGCTTTTTTCCAGCTTGTGACGTCAAATGTTTGGTGTAGGTCGTCTTGCCAGTCAATCATGAATTTTTCGTAGCTGTTCTGTCGGAACTGTCAGTACTCGATATATGGAGGCTAGCAACTTTTTTGGTGTGATAGGGGCTAGGAAGGCTTTTTCGAAAAAGGCTATGGTCGGCGACCGCGAGAGTGTGGGGTTGTGTGTGAGGAGTGCTTTTAGTTGGAGGTATGAGAACACTGCTCTCATCGGTAATTGGAATTTACGTTGAAGGTCAGAAAATGGCAGAATTCCGCTGCTCCCAAACAGTTGGCCTATAGAGGTACAGCCTCCTATGTGCCAGGGCCTGTAGTCAAAGGATGGGTTGATAGCATGCACGCAAGATATAGGGGTGGCTGGAAGCCACATGTGTTGCTCGCCTAAGTTGTATTTTAATCTGTCCCATGTGTGGAGGAGTAAGTCAGTGGTGCGCAACATGTTTGGCATGTTCGGGCAATCGTGTTTGGGTACCCAAAAGAGAAGGTGCATGCCCGTGGGGTGCGACCAGTGCGATTCTATCGCGATCCATTGCGGGGGGAGACAGCTGCGTGGGAATCCACCACGGATGCTAACAGTGCAGCCCTGTAGTATTCTTTAATGTTTGGTAGCCCTAGTCCGCCGTGGTCTAGGGGCTTGTATAGGAGTTTCAAAGAGATGTGAATTTTGCGGTTTTCCCACACGAATCTGGTTAGTGTAGCTTGGAGTCTTT